GGGGAGATACTTGATAAAATTGTTCTCCCCACTCGGGAATGGAACTCAGGTCTCCTGCATGCGACAGCGACCTGCCTAGTCGCTGCACACAGAAGCCGGTCCACGTTAGTGGAAAATTTCCAAGTAAATACATGTATAGAAAGGAGAAAATAGATTTTTAAGAAAATCAAAATGCAAGAGGGAATAGTACTGTGGTTTACTACTAAAGTGTGTACTATAATTCAGAAATAAATAAATCAAATAACAATAAATAAATTACAATGTTATTTGTCCCAGAATGGCACTTTGGTTAACAATGACAAACATACATATAAATACATAGATACCTAATTATAAATACGTACATACAGAAATACATGCATACATATATAAATACACAACATTACACAAATACAGAACAGTTCACAACCATGCCACTGTCGGTCGCCTCTGTGCAGCGTCCTGTATTTTGATCTAGAATTGTCCTGTCTTGCTCAAGGACACACCCCTGTGACCACCAATACAATTTAGAGACAGCATCAACTTCTACTCAGACTAACTATATGGCAATACAATGCACAGCTGGTCGTAATTGGTCGCTTTTAAGCACAAGGGGGCTATCTCGAAAAATGATGTTTTCAGGAAATCGAAGGTAAAGCTTTTGTCCCTTGTTCTGTTTCTTTAAAATACGAGAAGAGTTTTCTCTATAACCAAACAAATATACACACCAATGAAACCAAACGTCTCCTATAGGTAGGGCGATGCCCACTTTTTGTGCAGGTCAAGATTTGTGGAAACCCCCGAAATCTGGGTTAGCCCGCTTGTCCTTAAAAGCGACCAATTAACAGTATGTATATTGAGCAAAGCTAAGTTCTTAAGCAGTTACTATTTGACAACACTTTAATAATTCGCATTAGTTTGACCAAAAAAATTCCTTTTTTAGTAGAGGTTTTACGGCGCTCGCAACTTTATAAGGTCATGAGCGCCCCGAAGATTAGAGGTGTTACAAGAGAGTAACAAATATTAAAAAAGAAAAAGGGGAGATAAGGGCGATATATGTTTTATAGAAAAGAAGAAACAAACCACTCCAGAGCACCCACCAACCACTCACAATATTTTTCCTTCGCTAATTAGTTTTATAAGCTGTTCAGTTGTGCTGGTTGATTTTTTATCCTACTCTTTGGTGTCCTTTTTAAATCGTTGAATATAGGGTGCAGTATTGTTGTTATTGGAAAAAGACCACGCCGAGGCGTCTTGTGATTGTGCTGGCATCAGTCAGAAATTAAGTTAATTTTTAACGTAACGGTCAGACTTGTTCAAGCGGTTGTGCGGGCAGTGTTTCAGCGTTTGTGAACATGTGTATGAAGAAAAGGTAAGCAGTTGTAGAATGTATTTTTTTTTTAAATTTTAATTTTTTTTTTTG